GATGAGTAACTGCTATTAAAATTTAAAAAAAATTAATTTCCAGGGGCTGAGTAATATTTTTTCTGGAAAGGGGGCGGTAGGCCAAATAAGTTTGGGAACCACTGGTCTAACCAAACTGTTTCTTAGAAAACCAACACACAGAGTAAGGAACTTGCAACTCCTTCCCATCACTCTTTTCCTCTGGATAAAATACAAGGGGATGAAAGTAAACCTGACAAAAATGTAAACTAAGGTTTTGATTAGGGAAGGAAGGGAAGGTCTGGCCTGCTCCTGCCCATCAGGCAGCCAACCCCGAGGAGAGGGGCCTCAGGTCAGCACGGGCACCTGGGCACAGCAGACAAGATACCTGGAACCAGGCCACGGGGGAGGACCATCCGCGACCAGATCGAGGGCCCACAGAGCCCTCTGCACGTCAGTGAGGACAGGACGGTGGGAGGACTTGCTTCCACCCTCCACCCAGCCCCACCTCCCTCTCCACCAGAGGCACCAATGCAGAGGAGGGCACCACTAACCCGCCACTCCAGGCAGCTGCTGGGGCCGGTCTGTACGAAACAAGTAATTTGATGCAATGATAGCTTGATTGTTTTTTAAGCCTTGTGGTATTCTTAATTGCTTGGTGTTAGATAAACTGTGATTTAAAGAGCACAAACTCAGATAGCAGCACACAGAACACCAGCCTGGGAACAGCAAGGAGTGACTTGTTGACTTTAGCAAAGCCTTTTATGAGGTTTATGGCTGCCCTATCTGAGTGGCACACATAAAGGTCACTCTGGGAGGCGGAAGCACAGAACAGGAGGGAGGGAGCCCCGACAGGCCTCGGGAGCCCGTGGGAAGCCCTTGTCCCCACAGCAGTGAGAGGAGGTGCTGGGCAGCACCTGAGGAAGAGGGCTAAGGCCAGCTGGGCACATCCCTGGCTCAGGCTTCGACCGCCCAGGTGCCACCTCCTCCGGGTGAGCAGCAGCCCCAGGAGCCCAGCCCATACGTGCCCTGCCCTGCATGTAGGTCCCACTCCTCTCAGGAAGTCCTCCTGCAAGCCACTCATGGGCCACACCCTCACCCAGCGTTCCCAAGACCCTGAGCTCCTTCCCACGACCCACACAGCTCACACCTCCCCAGGGAGCCCCTGACCCAGCACTCAACACACAAGCTCAAGGTGTGAGGTCACTGACCTCCTTTTGCCCAGAGACCATTTGCCCTAAAGGAGGTGGCATTTTCACAACCCGGGCACTGACAGCCGGACCCATAGCCCCAACGGCTCCCAGGTCCCCCAGGAGCGACTGTCCCCCCGGTGTGGGGAGACACTTTCCTTGCTTACAGCCCTTTCAGCCAGAGGGGCTTTGCTTATGAATTAAATTGTGTGGACCAACATTCGAAGTCTGTCTGTTTTGAAACCCAGGGCACGTGTATGTGTAGCTACAAAGTGGCAGACACAGAGGAGCAGTCCCATCTGAAGGACTGGACAGAGGGGACCAGACAATCCAGGCAGCTCACGTCCGTGGGGCCTCTGCCCCGAGAGGCCAAAGTGCTTGAGGTCTAGGGACCAAGGACCAGGGAGCCTGCCCTGTTCCAGAGACCAGGCGGACCCTGGCGGGAAGCAGTCAGGTCCCCGAGGTCAGCAGCCCCACAGGGACTCTCCACTCACTTGGCCACGGCCAGGAGCACATGGGGGTCGTGCTCGCATTTCTTCAGGGCATCAACACTCTTGGTCTTCCTCTGGGGCCTGGCCTCCAGGAAGATGGCTTCAGACCACAGGACACCTGAAACTCACAGAGACACACACCTCAGGCTCTGACCTTGGCTCGGAAACGCGCCCATCCAGCCAGCACCGCTGCCCGAGAGGAGGGTCCTGCTTAGGGAGCACCGCAAAGACCACATGAGCCCGCCGTCCCGGTGCCCGCCTGGGACCCGCAGCTCCGAGGGCACAGACTGGACAACTTTCTGGGGATGACGGTCGGAAATAACGAGGCCTCACTCCTGCTGATTCAGTAATTCCACACCCAAGAATCTATTGTAATAAAACCTAGAAACACTAGTAAAGATTCACACAGAAAGGTTGTAATACTGAATTAAAATCAGATTAAAAATTGAGTAACAGGTGAGTGGTGCTTTTTGTCATATCTACAAAATTTTATAATTTACACCCTTGAAGAGTCACCAATAACGAAAAATTCTCACAAAAGTTTCAGCTTTAAAAAAAGGCACAAAATTAAACATGCTAGCCCTGGCCAGTGTTGCTCAGTGATTTAGAGTGTCAGCCCAAACATCGAAGGGCCATGGGTTCGACTCCTAGTCAAGGGCATGTACCTGGGTTGCAGGTTTGCTCCGTGCCTAGTTGGGGCGCTTGCGGGAGGCAATCCAGTCGATGTGTGTCTCTCACATCAATGTTTCTCTCTCTCCCTCCCCCCTC